TTTTTATCCTCATTCAGCGTTTGCTCGGAGATAAAAATTACATGCCATCATAATTAGCAATAATTCTAATGAAGCATATTGATTTCTTGCATCTTTAATTTCTACATAAAGTTTCTTAGCTGATAAAATTATTTTATCACACTTTTTTAGAAAAGGAAAGGTTAAAGTTTTACCCTTAAGCTACATGAAGAAAATGATATAAAAAAGCAGAAACAGAAATGTCTAAGAGAAGGTTAAATTCATAAAAATTGATACAATTCCCTTCACTCATTTTAGACTAATAAGATTTACAACACTAGCCAGCCCAAAAATGCCATCCAAAGATTTTATTTAAGATAGGGGACTTACCTGATCTTTAACGACCTAATATACTTATTAATAATGGAGTTCATTTAGCATGTGTCATGTGTCGCTAGTTTCAAAATAGTCTTTACCATAAAAGATTTTGGTGATAAGTTTTTTTTGCTAATTTTTTTTTTGATTCTGACTTCAGGAAAATTAATAATTGTATTTTAAATATTTCTTGATTAATTTAAAGAAATTAAATAATTACAAATATATAGATGCTTATTATATCCTTACTCAATTAAATAAAATAAATTGCTTTTTAACAGCCTTTTTTTTTTTTATTTAAGATTCTATATTCTTTTAAGAAAATTTCATAAATATTACATTTAATTCATCATTTGCATTATTGAAAAAGATCTAAAATAAAGTCTTTAATTTGAGGCATTCTATTCCTTATACTAGTTCCTTGTATTTCAATAAAATTTACTTGGCATTAATTAACACATCTTTAAGTTATTCCCTCTTTTTATTGTATTAAAAAATAAGGGTTTATTTACATAAATTTGTATTATCTATCATATCTTAAATCCAATTAGAAAGAATTTATTCTTATTTTTTATTCACAATATTCAGATAATAATATATTAATTCTCTCAAGAAATTTCCATTTGCTTAGGATAATATTTTTCACCCTAAAATTATCAACCTAAAGAATCACGTAAGATAATATTAATATGTTTAACCATTCTTTATACAATTATTCATCCTATTAAAAAAGAGTGAAAATTATAGCATTTATCTTTAAATAATTTATGTTTTTATTGATTTTTATCAAAATCCCAAAATATTTGTGATTTAAATTTTTACAAGAATTCTAGTAAATTGTAAACCTTCTGATAGAGCTACTTATTATATCACAAATATTGATTTCAAATTTAATATGCATTCATAAATATTAACTTGATTATTTATCATATAACTTAGTAATATAAAATGGAAATTAATTAATTTGGTGATTTAAAAAAGAATGAATTTATTGCAATTTACATGAGTTCTCCCTTATTTGAAGGATTAAAAATAAAATAAAAAATACTAAGTCTTATCTAATTTCAAATGAATCATTAGATGGAGAAATATAACTAATTAGAAATATGAAAAATGTCTGTTCTTCAAATTGGGCTTTTTATGGTGTAGCAGAGTTAGATCTTAAAATTAAACCTTGTCGATTTCATAATTACTACTTGTAAAGGTGGACTTCCAAATCCAGGGTTAAATTTCATTTTTCCAAATGGTGGTCATTTTGAAAGTTTCATATTGTAAAAGAGAATAAGGAGGATTAATATTGAAAATATTAAAGATCTTAAAGGCGCATTAAGAAAATATGATTCTAATTGGCAGTTCTACTAAAGTGGAATATTTAGCAATTTTAAGAGTCAAGTTAATTTTGAAGCAACAGCTGTTGGATTTAATAATCAATGTTGGATAATTTAAAAGCTCATTTGGTACATAATGGGCCAAAATGGTTAAATTAACTTAGCATCAGAAAATATATGCGGAATTTAATTTTACGTATCTAGGGCAATATGACTAAGATATTGAATGATTATTTAGTTGTCAATTCCCTCTATCTATTATTGACTCCATATGAAAGAAGATGAAAAAACCTTCTCTAACTAAAATAGATAAAGAATAGATTTTAGAAAGCTAGAAAGTAAATTGAAGTTGTTAGTAAAATATATAAATTAATAAAAGTCAAAAGGTTTTAAAGTTAAATATACGGTTTTTCAGGAGCTTTATAGTTTGAACTAATATAATTCTGTAATCTTTATGACAAATCTTATTTCTATCTCTTACTAAAATATATTGCTTCATAATAACAAGCGTTCAGTTATTGTATCGATTATATACAAAAAATAGGGGACAATTAAGAAAATTTAATTGTTTTATCTAGCATGTTTAAATTGATAATAAGTATAAGTACATTCAACATAGGATAATTGATTGTGGTTCAATGATGAGCCTTAATGTAAATAATCCATGTGTCCTTTTAGATAACAAATTTTCTAGAGATGCTGTAACAAAAATATTTAACAAATGGTGATTAAAAGTTTTGATTATACCATATATATTTTAAGTAATCATTGAACAGATAATAATTGAAATCAGCTGCTTTATTATGAATAATTCAAAATAAATGAGAATTTTGAAGCAAATTGATTAATAGATCTCCAGATTTAATTTTGAAA